TTCTTTGCAATTCCCTATATTGCTGGTTGTGAGGCCCATTGCCTCCCTCATAAAGGCTTAAAATACACACTATGGAAACTATGTTCTGTGTCACTATGTATACAACGAACTTACTTCAACTTGTATATATTGTCTGCCTGCGTGTGGAAAATTCTTATTTTGCAGGCACTGCAAGGATATAAGGTACTCTAGAGGACAGGAGAAAATTCAGAATAATATGTAATGTGATATAGTACAAAGACAAAATTCAAACAGCATTAGAATTGGCAGGTAAAGAAACAGTAAGTCTCCCTGTATTGTTTAGGAGTTTGAGATATACAATGAAGGATTCTAAAACACCTCCATAATTGAACCCCAAACTGACTCAGATACAAAAAAGATTGAAGAAAGATATTTTATTCAAGATGTTTGGTTTTTGTTTTGGTACCTTTTTAAAGTTTTATATATTTGATGTAGTAGCCCTTCATACTGGTTTTAGAACATGATCTGGCCCTAAAGATGGTTGCAGTTGCAGTCCTGAGCAAACAGGAAATTGTCACTTGGGAAATAATGGAGGAAATGGCATTTCCTGTTACAGATGGGAAAGACCAATAGTACTTTGAAACGAACTGTCAAGACAGTTAGAAAACTTCCTCACCCAACTTTGTCAATGCATATAAATTCTGTCCTGCAGTGTAAAATGCAGCCTCAATCTGAGAGGACCAGCTGTTCTCAAATGATGACATATGAGATCACAAAATCCATCTTTTTCTTCCAACCTAAATGCAACCTCAGGCTTTTGCAATAACTGCAGTCTCACTTTAGCAAATAATTTCTTAGACTTCTATTTTTGTAAATCCACTGTGTGAAGAGGCTGAAATAGTGGAGATTACTATAAGGATTTGCAATGTAGAATTTAGAAGAGGAATGCCTTTATGCTAGCCCTCAGTGCTAATGGGAATGAGATTACTTACTTCCCTTAAAAATGTTGGCCAGCAATTTCCAGATTAAAACACCCACCAACAGCCTTATATATGCAATATCCAGAAACATGAATCAATCACTAAGAGGGTTTACAAGACTATTTTAATCGGTCTCAGATTGAAAAAAATAATGGGGCTAAATTTGGTTAAACTGAAACCAACCTCAAAATGAAACGGCATTGTTGAGTATCTGGCTTAGACAGGCATAATCAGTAAGTCTACACTTTAAAGAAAAGAAAGAGTACTACTTTGACTAACCTAACTCTGGTGGGGATTTTCTGCTGCTTTGTTTTCTTCCTATGGGGAAAGCTGTGAACTCCGTAATCTTTTCCCTTCTCTGTCCCATAAATTTCATAACCCGTTTTTAAAAGGAGCATAGATTTCTTTTCTGAACAAGGTCCACTAGATGGCGGAAAATACTTGTGTATTCCTTTCTTATAGGCTTTCCCAGTCTAGAAAAGTGCTTTCATATATTGCAAGCAACTTGAACACCAGTTTTATACTTCGAAGTAACATGATACCTAAAAGAAAGAAAGCAGATCTTTCCTTTTAAATCCGTAAGTCCAAATAGGACTACTCAAGCATAAAGGCCTGATCCGCTCTTTCAGAAATTGGTAGAAAGATTCCCACAGATCTCAATGAACTTTTCACTGAATCCTAAGCACCTTCAAGACTAAAACAGCAGGTCATGTACCATCTTTCATTTTAAATTCTTCTAAATAAGAATGGTGTCTTCTTATAAAGGATTTGTTGCATTATCTGCTTTGTCTGTCATCTACTATATACTGGAACAGTATATAGAAAAATTTTGGGCTTCAATGATGTGGCTACTAAGTGTAGAACAAGCCAAATCAGTTGTGATTATTAATTACATTTGTTACTGGAAAATTATAACTAAGAATAACGATTATGTGTTCTACTAACAAAGAAAAAAAAAAAGGAAATTGTTCTCACAGTGCAAGCCAGTATGTAAGACTAAAGCATTTGAGACTATATGAATCTTTATTAAACGAATCTTTGGTAACATGCCTTCTTTTTTCTGGAGGGAAAATATCCATTGATCATAAATGAAGAGCTGACAGGGAGAATTCCAAATTCCCCAGAAGCAAGGAATTGGCATGTTCCTATAGCTGTTAAGAGAGATAATAGGATAACAATAGCCCCATTCTTTCTCTCCTACTATAAGAGAGTCTGAGGGCTGAGAGAAACAAGGTGGTAGAGGCTGGGTTACTGAATTATTTAAAGTATTCATTTTTGAACAGTAAAGGGTCAGCTCATACAATACTGATATTTTGAGAATCTATTCTCTGATATACTGAATCTTAGTACTTTTTACTAGCAAACAGCACCTTTTATCTGTTGCATATATGTTGGAAGACTTTGAAATACATAAACATGCAAGATGAATTTGTATGGCAGTAGCTACTAAGATGTAGATGAGGCGCTTAGGGACATGGTTTAGTGGGCATCGTGGTGTTGGGTTGACGGTTGGACTTGATGATCTTAGAGGTCTTTTCCAACCTTAATGATTCTATGATTCTATAAGGGAGTTGTTCATACAAGCTTAGGGATGTAGCTGTAAGATAGCAAGATAATAATTCCCTCTTAATAACAATAGCTAAAATCTCAAAGTTAGTGAAACCTTTCTAATACATTGCAATGACGCTATTTTAAATCAATAGTAATTCCAGCCTGTTCACAGGGGGAAAATATGTTGTAATAAATCCAGCCTGTAAAATTAAATGATAATAGCTGAAAAGAGAACTCAAGAGCAGTTGCAAACACCCAACATTTGTCATTTTGCAATAATTCCCCTGGTATCTTCTTTCAGCAACTGGAAAAAAAATTTACTTTGCTGCTTTACCATGGCAAGTAGAAAAGATAGAGTAAAAAAAAAAAAAAAAGAAGGTGGAGAGAATGAAAGGTAAAGACCCTTCCCGAGTGTTTATCCTTCAAAGGAGTCTAGATTAATCTGAACCCAGATAAATCATATGCTATCTACATTGGTTGGAATAAACAAACTGGAAAAATAAAACACTGACATTGTGAGATTAAGGAAGAAAAAGTGAAACGTTAAGAGGTTGTAAGCTGAGTTTACTAAAGATAATCATAGAAAAAGGCATCTGAAAAATGGTACCTGGACTGCATTTGTTCTTCACTTCTGGAACTCTGGGTTTGAATATCTGACCATTTTGTTAGGCCCTCTGTGGGATACACTGCCGTACTTTGCATGAACAATTATTGGCTCTTGGGGGAGGGAGAATCCTTTCACAAAACTGAGTGAGCTAGAAGTCACCTTATTTAATTAGAGAGCCTCATAGGTGGGAGCCTTTTGAACTCACCAATTAGAGATTAAATATTGCCTTCTAATTTTGCCTAGCTTAATACCGTAATACATAAATAGCAACAGCCCCAGGGTTTAAAGAGATTGCATATAAACTCTCTGTTCTGACATCTTTAAACACTGTTTACCATTCCCGAGTTAAGAAAAAAAGAAGCCTCAAGCTAAGGTGGGATACAGTTTTATGAAGCAGAAACTTTGTTGATGCCATAGCATAAGAAAGTTTTATCAAGAAGGTGTATTAGATTCAGCTCTGAAGTCAATAAAAAGAAGAAAATCTGAGATCACTGGGTGATCACAGTGGATTGATATATATGCAATTTAAGCACCTGCAATTGCCAATAATCAGTGTATGTTATTCTGTGTGGCAGGGTGTAGGCTAAGGGAGGAGTGTTAAGTAGAACATAATCTTCTCACCACTTAATTATCCAGAAAGAGCTATGTTACATTCGGAACCCTCTTCTTGGTTGAAATACCTTTCTACCTGCAAGCCCCTTAAAACTGTAAATGTTGTATTTGGTCGTCATTTTATTGGCAGTGGGATCTATCACCCAGAGTGTTTGCCTAGACCGCAGAACTGACTTCTGTTCCCAAATCTGTGCTCTCATTAGGGCAAAACACTTCAACTCTCCAAGCTTCTGTTCCTCCTCACACAAACCAACAATCATTCACTTCTTTGTTTTCCCTGCAAAGGAAAAACTGCTTTTAGTGCTCCTGTACTTGGCAAAGTGAGGCAGTTTCTTGGGCAGTGATTTCAGTCCTACACAATGCAAGATCTGACATTTTGAAAAGAGCAGGGCAATGGGAAAGCTTGTCAGTATGTGCAGGCTCTAGCTTCTGCTTATTTTTATGTGACAAAGCTCCACCCAAGATTGGAGCCTGGTGCACACAAATACAGAGGCAGTCTGCACTGAAGATTTTATGTGATAGTCAAAGGGTAGAAGAAAGGAAGTATATTTCTATTTTATACATGGGAACTGAGGCACAGAGATACTATGCTTTGCTTGAAGTTGTACAGGAAGTCTGTGGCAGAGCCAAGAACTGAACTGAGATCAGACATAACTGCAAGCCTGGCCTTCCTCTAAGTGCTGTTGGCTTTGTCTTGCTGGTCATGTGAGCTGAATTGGCTCCCTCAATATTGCTTCCAGTGCTCTCTATCTCTGTGTTCCCTGTGTGAGCCTGTTTTTCTTCAGAAACCTAGGAGTAAAACCTACAAATGATAGATAACCATGACATCTGTGGAAAACGCTGCATTTTAATGAATATAATATGATAAAAATTTAAGCATAATTTCTTATTGAAATTATGGGGAATTCCATCTAAAACTTTATTACATAATCTGGCTTTTCTGGTTTTAACCTGTCTTAAACAGATTATATGGCAGTCTGAAATTACCATAGAATTGTCATATCCTACTAGAAAATGAAGAGATGCCCTTGAAAATTTTCTCCATAAAATCTGTAAAAGCCAGTAGGCAAAGATTTCTGTAATGCATGTGGATTAAAAGTCAGTGATTGTGCTGATATCCTTGGCCTCAGTCCAGAATTAATGAGCAATAATGGGATAGGCCATAATAAAACTGTCATCCAATGCTTTTATTTTTTGTGTCGTGGAGTACCCTTTGGTAAGTGTGTCTGTCTTTGCGGAAGAAAAGACTTTAAAATATTTCTTGGTTTCTTTTGGGATACTTAAAACAGCACCAGCACCAGTTCATTCCTACACCCCTGCCAACGCTGAGCCTGCAAGTCGCCCTCCCTGGGTAACAGATGACTCCTTTTCCCAGAAATTTGCACCTGGAAAAACCACCACCACTGTCACAAAGCACATCCTACCAAGGGGTACTCCAGTACCACCTCCTGCCTCAACTTCTGCTTACGCATCTCCAGTTTCAACTTCTTCCCAGGCTCCTGCAATAGCCCGGGGAACAGTTCAGAGGGCTGAGCGTTTTCCAGCCAGCAGCCGAACTCCTCTCTGTGGGCACTGTAACAGCATAATTCGGTAAGGTCATGAGGTTTTGAAGAGGGATGAAGCAGAAAAAAAAAATCAGACTGGTTATTGTACATTAATATACAGTACCAGAGCCTAAGACTCAGTTAAATTACCCAGCAGGGATGCCTGTTGTCTGCTTCATTACTTTAACATTTCCAGAGCTCATTTTGCTATTGTGTGGTTCACTTTTTATCACTGCAAAGTTATACGTGCTAATTGTTTGTTTCTTGGATGCTGTGGCAAATCACTGTTTGTTTTTCAAACAAGTTTCTGGTCCAAAGGTACCCCTTGAAGGTGCTACATACAACTTCATTGGGAGAGTTGGGGGGGTGGGGGGGAGATTATGGCGAGAAAAGGAACAAGACATCATTTTGGAACAGCAGCCAAATGTAATTGTTGCTTTTGTGTCTGGAGAAAGATAATGCCTACACTCTATTAGCAGTGATTCATAGCATGCCTCTCCCTTCTCCTCTCCCAATTCATTCTGCTGGACCAGTGCCCATTGTTACCCTGTGGACTGCTAACCAACTTTAAGTAATCCATGTTTAATGACAGTCTCCCCCATAAAAGGAGCTAGTTTGGTGATGTGGAACTGCTGATTATTGCCCTTTATACATTCTGAAATGGAAAGACTCCAGTAATAATCACTATATCTAATTACAATCAAGCGTAAATCACTAAGATGAATTTGATGTGTCTTCCATATAATCAAACAGCAAGTTGTCATCTGATAGTCTGACATTTCTAGAACATGCCGCATGCAGTGATCTCTCAGATGAAACGAAGGCAGGAGACTTTAGGAGCTATTGTGAGGTGTGGGTGTGTAGGTTTGGAGATTTGCCTGCTTTTTCATGCTTTCAAATAGTAGCATTATCTTCTGTGTTACAACCCTTGGCCTTTTCCTGTTGTCTTTGCAGCTGTTTAGAAAAACCACTTATAGCTATGCAGATATGAAAACAATTGGTGATTTTTCCAACAGTTGTCTGTAAATCCAATGTATATGACTAAACAATAATGAAATATTTTAACTAATTGGCAAGGTGTTTGAGTAATGACCATTTCTGTTCAGGCTTCTGGGTCTTAGTTTAACATGCACCTTCATGGTTCAAGTAGAATGCTTGTTATACATGTATGCGGTGTCTAACAAAGTGGGTTTGTAATCAGGGTCATTCAGTCTTTTTGCAATACAAGTAAGATAATTACGATTGTTTACAGGGGTCCTTTCCTGGTAGCCATGGGTCGCTCTTGGCACCCAGAAGAATTTAATTGTGCTTACTGCAAGACATCCTTGGCTGATATGTGCTTTGTGGAAGAGCAGAATAGTGTGTACTGTGAGCGCTGTTATGAACAGTTCTTTGCACCAACCTGTGCCAGATGCCACACTAAGATCATGGGGGTAAGAGAACAAGCTTAACCCTTTCTCCAACTGTGTGGTTCACTGAAATAGTGAAATAGTTTAGACTGTAAGCAGTGAATGTAGATATTTAATTATTTCCCCCTTTTTAATAATAATTTCCCAGCCTGTTGATTATTTAGAACGAGAAACATACTATTTTATAATAATTTTTATCTATCCGAAATCTTGGATATTTCTGTACGTTATTCAACTCATAGACAGAACATGTAATCTAATTACCATCTCACTGAGTGTAAAGGAAGTAATGCTTTCTGGATAGTTTTTTGCTATCCGATACACACTATGTTACTTTTATCTATCTTTTCCTTGTATTTATAGTAAAAGACTTGAACTTGTTTTTTTTTTCTTATACAGCACTTAGTCTAAATTTCAGTGGAGAAGTCAGTGATCTTGGGGAGAGGCCCATTGCTCTTGCTGCACCTCACTGGTAGCTAGCAACACTGCTGCCAAGAGGAATTCTGCTGACTTCTTATAGTTAAGAAAATACAGAATAAATATGATCTGAATTCCAGAAAGGCAAAAATAGATGCCACTTTTGTCTTATGTACTCATGCTTAGATACAAGTAAGTTTCTCTACATATACCTTAGATGGTGATGATCTTATGGAATACCATAAGATAATTTTAGCAGTGTATTTATGCATGCAGTTGTAGTGAATATATGACATGATTCATGCAAGGAGTAGCACACTGTTTTTTCACTGCTTAGCTGTCACCTTTTGACATTGTCAAAATGTTGGCATTGACAGACTAGGTGCTTTTCTCTGCAATTGCCAATTAGGGATGGCAGCATCAGACATCTATGGTGAAGCTCTGGCTCCAACCAAGTCTTGTTTGCTACCTCGGCAGTAGGAGTCATTTTACAGCAGAGTACTGACTTAACTTACCTAATTAATGCTGGCACAAATCAGTTCCCCATTATGGATTTTCATCAGGAAAACAGCAAAGATGCCAGCTGCCTCTATTTATATTAATAAGATTTCTCAATCTGTTTTTTGCTTCATAGCTCAGTGAGGTTCATAAATGGATCCAAACCTATTTATCAGTGATAGTTGTTTTGCAAACAGTAACAGAAGTTAATGAATCTCAAATGGTGATTCTCTAATGAGATATATGGCAAACATAAATTAGACTATATTGTCTATTCACTGGATTGAAAGCATGGAAGAGGACTTCAATCCCTTTTGTCGTAGTCAATGGAGATTAAAAATAATCTTTAAAAGAGAATCAGTCTATGTATATAATTGGAAGCAACACAAAATAGGATCTAGATTCTCAGCTGGCGTAAATCAATCCTGATTCACTGAAGTTAACAAAGTTAATTTACACTAGTTACACAGCTGGCCTTTTGACAGAGATACACTGTCAAACGTTGTCTTGGGCAAAAGATTGACAAATTAGCAAGTAACCATGCATCAGGGTTACATCAAGGTTACAGCATCAAGGTACAGCAGCTTTTGGATCTGGAGGACTTCTGTATGACAAGATAAGAATGAAGCAGTAATAGAGATTGCTCCATACTGGATAGAAGAAAGAAGCTGATAAAATCTGGATACTCAGTTCAAGAGAACATCAGTTGCACAGAATTTGGTTTTTTGTGATGAACACATGGCCTAGGAACAGACATGAAGACTCGTTTTCACTAATCACATAAGTTAAAATCTAAGAAGCTTTTTTTTTTCTTTTTTTAGATTTTCACATTAGTTTGTGAAGCATTCTTGTGAGAAGCTTAATCACTTATCCCCTGCATGCATTTCTTGGTCTTAGAGACAAAATTACTCTTTAAAATTTATTTAACAAATCATACTCTTGCATTGAAGAGTTCATACTAGTCGTGTCAAAACAGAGACGAAAATAATCAGAATCTTTGTGCAGAATCTCTCCTGCAACAGCGACTGGGCATGTTGATACAAACAGCTGGCTTAACTATGTTGTTTCATTTTGGCAAATACATTGTTCTAGAAAGTTTGCAGTCCTATTTCCTCTTTCTTTCCAAAGGAGCCCAATTTCTGTCATACTTCTTTCTTTTAAGGAGGGGAATTGGCTGATACAGAAAGGAAAAATTTAGAGCATCTCTGCCTTCTATTTTTCTCCGGTAGGTAGTTGCAGGGCATGCTATTCTGCAGGAGATGTTTTGGTTTTTTGTTTGTTTTACAGGAAGTGATGCATGCCCTAAGACAGACTTGGCACACAAGTTGCTTTGTCTGTGCTGCTTGTAAGATGCCATTTGGGAATAGCCTCTTTCACATGGAGGATGGGGAACCTTACTGTGAGAAAGGTATGGCAAAGTGGACAGTTCTGCTCAGTAATCATGTGCTTCATGTTGTATGGAAGCAACATAAGAATAAAGCAGCTGATGAACAAAGTAAAATCAGTCACCCATCCAGCATTGATTTTGTTTCCACTCTCTGCATATACGAGTGTTTCCTTCTCTGTATTTTTCTCCACTTTATATGATAGACTGGCAGAGCACTAATCTTTTGCCTCTATGTCTCAGAATGCCTTACCTCATTTCTCTCCCTTACATATTATGATACTTATCTTCCATTTCTCTCCATACACTTTTTTCCCTGTCCCCCTCCCTTCCCTGGTAGATTCTGTTCACTAGAAATCTACACATTATGGGGTGAAAAATTCTTCTTTTAGGATTCTGGTAGCACTTCTATACAGTATGTGTGGGTTGCTGCCCACATTCTCACTACTAAGCTGCTTGAATTATGACCTCTGATACTGCTACCTCACCCTAAAACTGATCAACCAACATATATGAAACGAGAGCTCAGCTCAGATGTCCAGCACATGGTAGTGCAGATTTTGTCTTCTGAGCGCTGCAACAAATGAACTGCTTCTTGCCAACTAAGAAAGGAAAAGGCCAGGTTTTCCCAAACTATGGAAAGGGTAATATGGTTTAATAAATGGTGCTTGCCATGCAAATGAGTTGCCTGACATGGTCAGGAAGCAGTTTAAATTTCCCTCTGTAAGCCCTGCCTTGTCCATTTAAAGAGCTTCTGGCCTACTTCTCTCTGGAGATTCCTTCCTTATGGTTGCGCAAATCGAATTTTACAAATCGGAGTAACTGTTAGTGAAGAATGAAAACCATAGAGCATGACTAACTTGGCACCTATCCTTTAAAATTGGAGGTTTTGCCATAACCTGTAACGACTCTCACGAATTCCATATACCCTTAGAATTTCTGCTAATCTTTTTCAATGTTAAGTCTTTCCAAACTGCACTTGATATTCAAAGTAAAGATGTATTATCCAGCCAGTATGGGGTTTCCATAATATTCTCTCTTAATGCAGAGAGAACATAAATCCAGTCATGGAAACTTAAACTATGCTTCTGTACCACCCTTAAGGAAACACTCACTGGCCATTAGATTGTGTTTTGTGTGACCATATTTGTCCTTATGAATAGCTTCCACACACATTACAGCTAATTTAAAACTAATGTGAGAAACATAACCTCAAATTTCATAAATCTTTTGTTCGTTTGCTATGTTTGTGATGACAACCGTCGTGCTGATATGGGGTTTTGCACTGAGTTTGTATTTAAATAATGAAAGAAAAGAAGCAAATTTCAGTGTGAGTGTTTCGTGAATGTAGTGGATAACTCTGAGCAAAAACAATCCAAAAATTCATCCACTGGAAACTTTCTGTTTCTCTTGGTTTTAATACGATTGCGTTAAGAGTTTGTTCTAAGTTTGCTTTTTGTTTTATTTTAGATTATATTGCTTTGTTCAGCACAAAATGCCATGGCTGTGATTTTCCTGTTGAAGCTGGAGATAAATTCATTGAAGCTCTTGGACACACTTGGCATGATACCTGCTTCATTTGTGCTGTAAGTTCTATACCAAATACTGTCTCATTTCTTTATACTCATAAATTGTGAAGTAACATCAGAAGACCTGAAAGCAGTAATGACTAACATATGCCTAAGGATGCAGAGGGATTGAATTTCATTTTTTACTTGCATATGGAGAAGGATGGGAGTCATTTCTCTTCTCCATAAACTTTTACTAGAATTATTAAATTTGACCATCACAAGTGAGTGCTTTCTAATAAAACATCCAGTTTTAGAGAGTACATACAGTAATACATAGGACTATTGCTGTTACTCTTTCCAATGTTTACCAAATAAAGATAAAGCAGCATTTAAAATAAATTAACTCCATACTGAACAGTATAGCCATAATCTTACTTACAAAGCAGTGCAGTTTGTATTTCCCTGCAGAATGCTTGTTGAAACTTGCAAAAAGGAGTCTGTTTAGAGAGAATGAATAGTAATTAGCATAGAAGTTGGTCAAACTCATCAATCTGTGATGTGCGTACAGCTATATAGTGTGGACATATTCCCACACTCTGCCCACAAAGTAGTAAAATCCATATGATAAACAGTACTTTTCATATGGTTCTAATACAGCTGTGCTGCTCTACAACATATTATTCGTAAGGTAATAATATCTAGAACCTCTAATTAGCTAAAAATAGTATGTTGGCCACACCAAAAACAACAGTGACAATTTCTAATGTTTGTTGAACTCTAAAATTTATGTTGAAGAGTAGAAAGTATAGAAATGTTTATAAATATCTAAAGCTCAACTAGCTACTGGTCTTTTAAGGGTACATGGAAGTGAGTGACACAAAAGTGTCCTGTGAAAATTGAAGTCTTTTTGAAATTCTAACGTAGAAAGGAATACTAAGACAGCAAGTTTCCTTCACAAACTAACAGCTATTAGCCACTTATAAAAGACACTTTCTCTGAATATTTCATGTTCTTTTTTATTTGTTCATTTAACTGCATTCTTATGTATTTATTTAAATTAGCAACCCAATTTTCTGTGGAGGTGACAGCTTTGTTAATGCAGTTCTCACAGTGTTTTTTGTTAGGAGCTAACTTTATTTCTTTCAGTGGGTTAAGTCAAATGCAAATAAACACATGACTTAATTTCTAATATGTTATCATCATATCTTTTCACGTGATTTTCCTTCCATCACTGATGTTATCACTCACTGGTCTTAAGCCTGCCATAAGCATTAGGGACAACATTTATTCTTATTCCTAGATTCTGATGTGTTTACTTCCTTAAGTGGTTCTAGCCTTCTAGCCTAACTCTGACCTTGCAAGTGGTGTTGCACTACCCTGTGTAGATATCTGTACAATTCCAGTGCAGTTTAAGCTGATCTAAACCTGGGCTGCCCTGCCTCGGCCATGCATTCTCACATGCTTTGTTATGTCAGCACCGGCACTTATGCAGCCAGGCAGAGAACTCTATGGGTTGAAGAATAACCTGGTAAGAATAAGTAATTAGTTTTCAATGATACTGGCTGTCTGAATGACTCACTCCTTGATCACATAAGCACCCGTACCAAGACAAAGTAATAATAGGAATGAGTATCTAATGGTACCATGGCAGGATGGTACCCCCGGGACCATGGCACCTAACCAGAGCTTTTATAAAATCATACGTTACAAGGATCAGAATCTAGGTCTTAAAGTCTGAGCTAGCTGCATGTGCTCGAATGTACCACTATCCTTTGACAGTCTACACAAGCACTGCTGGGACATGCCGAAGCTGCCTAGGGGATCATGTACCCAGACTTCATTTTAACAGAAACTAGTGAACTTAGAGGGTAGTGGTGGCAGGAAAATACAGAGAGGAGAGCTGATGGAAACCAGAGCCTAACTGCAACATGGACTAGGAGAACTACCAAGGCATGCACTTTGATCCAGGAAATAAGATGTACTTCTGCCAAAGAAATGTGCAGGCAAGAAGAGAAATACAGTTGAAACTGATAATCACGTCTTTCTCTTTTTTTTTTTTAATGATTCCTGATTGTATTTATTATTAATTTTAGGTATGCCATGTGAATTTGGAAGGTCAGCCATTCTACTCCAAGAAGGATAAGCCACTGTGCAAGAAGCATGCCCATGCCATCAATCTTTAAAAGAAGAGTTGGCAGTCAGTAATGCTGGGGAAAAACAGATGACTAACTGGGCAATTATAAAGTTGATAACCATGGCTAGCATTTCTCTTGGTAAAAGCTAGGAAGTTGATACTTCTGAAGTTTAACTTTAACTTCTCTCGTAAATGCAGAACATGTTTTTGCAAGGTTCATACAAAAACCTACTGAATGAACAGTCAAAAACAAATTATTTAGTCTATTATTAGAGCAACAGTTGGGGGGAAATATTGAAATTAACTAAAAACTGTAATATAAAAAGTAATGCACAAATACAGTTTCAAATGAACTACCCACAACAGTTTTACTGCTTAGACCACACACTAGTGTTTAAGAACAACTGGAAAAGTCCTTTTGTAATAAGTCATTTTCTTTCACAATAAGAATGAATAAGTGCCACATATACAATAATCTGTAGAACCAAAGGCTGTAGCTTTCAAAGGGAAATAAATAGATTGGGGTTTCCTCTATGAAAAGTGAGTGCTATTCTGCTATTCCATTATGTTGTGGTGCTACCTCATAGCATCAAATATTTTAGATTCTTTCCAAATAATAAGTCTGCCTTGAATCCATATGTAGCTGGGAAGCCTAGGACACGATCCGTAACTTAGTTTGAAAATAAAGTGGAAACAGAATTAATTCCTTCCATAACCCAGAAAGATTGAGAAAAGCATGTTGGGTCAACCTTGCTAGTGCACTTGGCTTATACATGCACAGTAGATTAGTTCACTTTCAAATCATAATGGGAAAGGACAACTGGCTTTCTCCAAATTGTTCTTAGACTGAATGGAATAGAGCTGGCTGGAAAGGACAGCTTTTAATTCAAAACCAGTTTTCCTTTCCTCTTGTGGAAAAAAAATACTCAACAATTGCTTTGGTTTCTAATTCCCACTGATATCAGTGGGAGGTAGGAATCTACATCTGGACCTTCACATTGATGAACACAGAAGACACACATCCATCTAGCACAGCTAGGAAGTGGGAGATAGCTTGCAGAAGTTCCTTACTCTATCCCACATATTTAGGAAAAGGGCATCTTTTTTTTTTCCTATAGTAAATTATCATTGATTAAAAATTCATAAGGCAGCATAACACCACAGGCACTTACTCTTTATTACTTTTGTTAGTTTAAATGCAACACATCCTGAATTGTAGTAGTATTTGCCATTGTAAAACACTAGATAGGCTCTGACAATTAGGATAACCATAAGGTCATCTTTTCTAACATTTTAAGAACAACTTTCTAGTCGTTCAAACAGTTATTTATAAAACTTTTTTTTTGCAAAAGAGCAATACTTGTAATACTGATAATACTTTTGAGTTTTTAATTTTAAATATCAATGACTTGTATTGGAGACAGCACTTCTGTCTGATAGAGTTAAAATGGAAAGTCTGATCACTATTCAAGTTTTATTAATTTGCTTAAGTGAGAATTACGATGTGTGTGTTGACAGCTTGCAGTACTGACAATTTTGACTTAGTGTTTCTGAGGCTGAGGATGCATTCTGTGGGCCACATTCTGGTGCCATTTGCACCCTATTTTACCTTGCATTTTGAGTAACAAGGAATGACATAGCATTGTCTGCCTTTTCACTCCTATGGGTAATGCCCATTTTAAGAAAATCAGTGTGTCTTTTCAGGGATGAAAAACTATCCAAAGCTTGGGGGAGGAATAAAAGAAATTTGGATTTCTAATATGAGAGTTAAGTTAGCTGCAGGCAGTCTGCATCTTGGACAAAAATAACAACCTGAACTGCCTGTGGCAGTATGACCTGTATTTATTCCATAGGTATCTTAGTTCTCACTGATCCTAGCAGTGATCTGATCTGAGTGCTACAAGGTCAGATTTTTGTATGCATGAATTGTTCTAAAACACTAGTACATTATATGCAAAGCCTTTTTTTTCTATAGCAAACAAATTTTCTGTTTTCAGTCGGTGCTGGGCTGGTGTGAATATGGTTCCATTAATTACAAAATCCAAAGATCTGGCTAATAATATTCTCTGGAGGAATAAATTGTAATCATGGAAGTTAAATATTTTTTCGCTCATATTTTACTTCATTAAATACCTTTTCATAACAGCGAGACAATTCTAGATTTCCTTTTAATTTTTGAATGTCATTCAACAAAATGGTGTTTATTGTTCTCTGTTATTTAAGAGAATTTGTATCAGCATATTATATACTAAGACTGCATTGAAGATATTCTTTAGGCAGTTTTCTGTGTTACCAACTGACTGGGACTCATCTCTTACTATCAACATCAAAACAGGGAGTCAGACTCCTTGGGAGGACACAAAATGCTAGGGTTTGTGATGCCTCAGGAGAATTTCATAAGGTCTTTCGCCTCTAATCTGTGTGTGTATATGTGTGTGTCCCCCTCTCCACCTTCCCCGTTAATGTCCCTAAAAGCTCCCTCTTCACTGGCAGTGTGAAGGATAAAGCATTTTAGGAGATGGCCAGAGATGGAAGGCTGCAGCTTAGGCAGGGGTACAGTCTGTGCAGAGATGGTGGTAGGCAGCACGGCTGGGCCTGTCTCTTCTTCACGTTCACAGGGGAGCCCAGATTGCCAGCTGAAGTGGCCCAGGTCAGCCTGCGAGTTGCTGGGGTGGACAGGGGTGTGGGAGACAGGGGTCTCGGTGTGGGCAGGGGAAGGGAGACTTGAATCAGAGGAGGGAGAGCACCCGTGGCAGCCAGAATGCAGGGGCTCTGGGGGCCTCTGGCTGAGTGTGAAAAGATGAGGCACTGAGGAAAACGGGAAGCCCTTACTGAAGCTGGGGTTGGAGGAGGGGGAATAGCTAGGTAAGGCCAGTTTCACTAAGTTGACATATTAGATAGTTGGGGTGGGGCAGAGGGGGAAAGGGTGGAATAGCCAGGATGACTCACTACAGTCAGGGAAAGGGCTTGAAGCAAGAAATTAGGGTACAAGGAGCTCACAATACTCCAGAGAGTATGAATACGCATAGAAGGGGTGAGCAAGGGGGATACAGGATCCAATCTAGTAACTTTGAAGTCAGTACTGCAGAAAGGTGAATGCAATGTATATAAGCATAGCTGAGCTAGCTTGCGGGGTGGCAACAGTGAAAATGCAGCAGCACGGACTTCAGTGGGAGCCGTACTAGCTTGAGAGAGTCCTGAAAATTTCCTTTTCAGTGGGAGCCATACTAACTTGAGAGAGTCCTGAAAGTTTCCTTGGACAGATAACCTGCACTGTAACACATGCCCTGACTCCAGCTGGTGTCTGAGCAAGTGAGATTAAAGCTAGTTTACATATCACTATATGAGGTACAGTGATATCTCTGAATGAAGAACAGAGATACCCTGAGGATTATCATGTAATAAATTTCCTGTTTTGACTTGTGCTGCTTCATAATGTGGTCCAAAAATAGGGAATCCACTTACCCGCCCTTGATATCTATATTAAGATATAATTTTTGCACATATCTGAACCAGAAATTTGTGAATAATAATGTAGTATTTTAAGTTTCACAGGGGTAGAATATCACATAACTGCTGATGCTCTTCTGCCACATGTCACCTTTGTGATATGGAGGGGAGAAAGATGCATAGAGATAGATAGATAGATATAAAATTCAGAATAGGGCCCTTCAACTATCATTGAACATAAACGCTGTACAAAAATATGCAAGATGAATAATACGTACTTGTTTATGTTTTATGTCTTGTAATAGATGCCTGGGACAAGTCCTAAGTTCCTCTAAATATTTCTTTTCATTCTAATTAACGTGGAGTTTTACATAATAAACAAAGATTCTGTACCTCTGAATGATCAAATAAAAAGACCAGTCTTTTATCTAATTAAGAAGTGTTCAATAACTTTTCAGTCAAAGGCTTCAAAAGTTATCTTAATGCTTTTTCTCTTTTTCTGTTCTTTTTGCAGAACAGCGTAAATTAAATATTTCCAAAGACTGCTTTTATTATCTGGGAAAAAACCACTCTTATGACTTCTTTTTTTAAAAGAGTTTTTACTATATTGGATTTACACACTACACATTTCTAAAATCAATTCAAAACAAGGAAAAATATTTTACTTTGGTCCTTCAGTGGTCAGTACTTCGTGTGAAATGTTTTGTTAAAGATTATTTGTATTTATGTTTAATAATGTGAATGTCCACAGCACTGAACACACTCCTTAGTGTCTAATGCTGGGCACACTAATGTTTATTTGCAATACTTGTCTCCTGGTAGCAGATATTAATTTCTTTAGTATTTATAAACAGCAGAATTTGAAACTGAGTGATTTCTTGCCTGCAGTGATCATATTAGAAGTCTAGGTTTTATAATACATTGACATGTTGACTTGATGCCACAAGTGCCCTTTCTTTCAGATATATTTTTTTTCTTAAGTTCCTAGTTATTTCAGAAGCAGAATGTAGTGTGGTTTATGAGGTGTGAGTAACTACCTTGCATGGATTATCTGTGCCAACATGAATAAAACAGTGTAGTAATAAAATGAATGTGCAAATACAGTTAAAGCTTTATGATTTGGGCATATTTATTAATATGGCATGTGAAGAGCTGACAGCTTTCAGCCATGTAATACTGATAAGAAAGCATACACAAGCTTGTACTCTCTACTTCAGACCTGAAAATAAAAATTAAAAGCATTGGTTTCAACTTTATTGTATATCAATCTTGAATGTTTTATTAACCAAATAACGCTGTTTTAAACAAACAAATGTTAGTATCCTTAAAAGATGTAGTGTACTAACAGTACATGTTGTAACTTAGCAAGACTTGTATAGTCACAGAACTTATTGTGTCAACAAATACTGTTTATAGTAACTTTATAAGGAATGGGTAAATTCTGTCTTAGGTTACATCGATGCATCTGAGAACAAAGTTTGATTGCGTAAGTTCAGGTGGGTGTTCTTTCATTTCTTAGCAGAAGTGACTTTAAATAATATACAAAATGTTTTAAACGTCCTCATTGAGCTCTAGTGCCAAGAAATACTTCCAAATGAAAGGATATCTCCATATAACAGTATGGCTTATAAAAACAGCCATTTTGTGCATTCCTAATCCACCCTCCTCAGGATGCAGGATTTTTAAAGATACAACTAATTATATTAAACCTAATTAAGAAGTTACATGAGAAGTGGACAGACATGGCTTTAGATGGCATTACAAAGTACAGCATCAGGAATCACAACTTTGTGCACTTTGATTTTATTTTACAGCCCTAATTTCTGTTTAAGATGTGCATAAGGAAAAACACAATTCAAAAGAATGAACAGAACATACGCAATTTTCTGTCAGTTCAAAGCTGCTGATTTTCAGATTGTCTGTTCTGACCTTTAACCTTTGCACAAGACAGTGCTTCCTAAACTC